GAGGCCGGTGGGCTTGAGAACGGCGCGGCCGGCGATTTCAACGACGGAGCGTCCGGAAGGACATGTGACGGCTCCGGGCTGGACTCCGCTTCGTCCACGGTGAAAGCCGATCCGGCGATGCACAGCGCGATGTTGATGTATTTCCTCAGCGACCAGCAGGGATCAGCTCCAGGCATGACGAAGCGGATATCGCTTCTCTTTTGGATATCGTCCTCTTTTGGAAGGCCAAGCAAAGTAGTTTCGCTTTCACAACGAAACACACAGCGCCTTCACGACATGGCGGCGGCGGCAACAACAATACTACAGCGAGAATAAAAGTTACGCCTTTCTTTGCGTGAACATTTGGGCGGCGTTATGCAAATCTTCCCACATCGTGACGTAGACATGTGGGGGTGTGTTAGAACGAGCCATTTTAGGTAGGCGTGGTTGACTCTTAACTTTTATAAAGAATATCTCTTTGGATTTGAGACTTTAGTCTTTGCAACTTTACAGATCTTCTTTATGCACCAAGAGCTTGTAACACTCCAAAGAGAAAGGAAAAATTGAAATTGCATCATATGACCCCTTTAAACAGCTAACAAGGCCTCTCCTCTCAGAGTACATCTGCTAAAAAAGTCAAAATATAACACAAATAAAATATATATTGAAAATAAGTATTTTGGTTATGTGCTGTAGAAAAGAACCCAAACAGATAAATCAAATCCCACATTGTTCCACATTCTACAACTTTCTATCATCCTGTATCTCCTGCATCTCAATAATCACTACATTAGGCCTATATGTATTGTTCATTCATAGGCTGGTGGGTTGGCGTCTATACAACTCAACTGTTGCAGAGTATCAAGGCAATGGCGCAAGTGTCAGTTTGCAGCATCCCTCATTTGGGGATCCAGAGGTGGAGCTAGTCTAATCCACTAAACAAGTCCAGGTGGCACATCTTCCTGTCGTCCGTTTCAAATAATACCATACTGGGCGAGTTCGTGCAACTCCAGTTGGCTAAAGGCTTCCCACGGACACACCACGGTGATGTCTGTGCATGAAAGTTGTTGGCAGATGAAGAACAGCAATGAGCCAGACAATGAGAAAAATCAGTTTGCAAGAGTAATAGGTTTAGCATATAACACAACACAGTATTTGATCACTACATAAGCAATGTTCCAAGGGTTGTTCTCACCAGTGCCAAGACCGTCCATTCCTGGGATCTCATCTCCAAATCTAATTAAAGAAGAGAAGAAATTGATAAAAAAATTAAGTTTATTTCCTAACATACTCTTAAAAATAAAGATTCCAAAAGAGGGGTTCACAATAGAAGAACCATTTTTGGTTCCCCAAAGAACCTTTCAGTGAACAGTTCTTAAAAGAACCATTTTTCTCTTAATGTGAAGAACATTTAAAAAATCTAAAGAACCTTTTTCCACTATAAAGAACCTTTTGTGGAATGGAAAGTTTTCATCGATGTTAAAGGTTCTTCATGGAACCAAAGATGCCTTTACTTTTACCTTTGTTTTTAAAAGTGTATAGAGCAGGGGTGTCAAACTCAATTCCTGGAGGGCCGGAACCCTGCAGAGTTTAGAATCAACCCTAATTAAACATACCTGATCCAACTAATCAAGTCCTTCAGGCTTATCTGAAAACTACATGGTATTTGTGTTGGAATAAAATTCTACAGGGCTCCGGCCCTCCAGGAATTGAGTTTGACACCCCTGATATAGAGAGATCAATCAGATTTAAATGTCGTCTACTCACCCTTTGACTCACTTCTTGGGAGGTTTGCTTTTAAATTGTCTTGTCATTCTCTGTTTGAATTTAGGTGGTCCTCTTCTGGATGTTGTTGGTCCTACCACTCTTATCGCTATTTCCCGAGCTCATCCCGTACAATGTCTCTATCAGATTTTTCCAAAAGTCAGGTTCTTGTGGGCTCTAGTGTATGTAGACGACTTCTTGTTCAACGTCAATATCTCTCCTTGCAGTTGAGGAAAGCCGGCTTAAATACAGTGAGGCTGGCCTATGTTTGCGTCAATGGGTCAACAACAAAGCCTGACAGATTGGCACATTGACATAGCAGCAATGTGTTGCAGGTTAACTCAGGTAAAAGCCCAAGATCACTCACTGGATTCTGAAAACACAAACTGGCCTTCATTGAGAAATCTTTACTTCAGTACACCTGGAGAGTCTGTCATGGATTAGATAGAACGTATGTTTCATTCATGGCTTCTGCAGAGGAAATGAATGAAGACAAAATCTTATGTGGTCAACAACTTTGATAATGACATTAGACCTACCCTTGGATGGTGGTATAAGCTCCTATGCAAGGAGCTTATACATGCAAATCTATCTATCTAAACAAACAAATATAAAAATAAAAACGTATTAATTTTGAAATGGTGATTGAATCCCTGCAGTATTTAACACACAGCATGTCAACATCGAAGTGAAAAAGACAACAGTATTATCTGCACTTCATATGGACCAGGGTTGCTGACGTTCAGCATGGCATGAGCTACGTTACACACTAATGTACTTAAAGTTAAGTCTCTGACATAAAGATTGTGACTGATGTTGGAGGTTTGAGCACCATTAAGAAGATCATGTCACACAGAGACAGATGTCAAATGTAGAACTGGGATATGAGTGACATGTTCAACACCTGCTTTTTCAAAAAGAAGAGGAATTCAGGCCAACAGGTAAAATATCATCAGGCAGCCTTTACGGATTACATATGAAGTGGTACAACAATAAAAAGGACTGACTTTTAAAGCTCAAAAAAACCTTTAAAAAGCTCAAAGTCCTCAATCTCCCGTTCACAGCGTGCTCTGGGTCTCTTTGAAAGTTAACTGCACTCTGAATTACCCACCATTCCCCGCAGGTGTGGATTGACTATAATCTCATGGAGCTCCTAAAGTGTAGTTCAGAGATCTGCAGAGTCTTCTAATGGCATAAAAGTGAGAATGCGTAATCAGTGCCTGATTGTATTTCTGTGTTAGATAGTTAGTGTTGACTTAAGAGAGTAACAGTTATTATTATTATTAGCAGCAGTCAGCAGATATAAATACACATAAACAACGTTATAAAAAAAAGATAAAGTGATACAAGCAGATATTAAAGGGGTCCTATTATGCTCTTTTACAATGTCTTTAATTTGTTTTGGGGGTGTACTAGAACATGCTCTCATGCTTGGTGCTTCGAAAAACGCATTATTTTTTACATAATTTACATTATTACAATACCTTTCGCCCTCTCATGGCACAAACGGCTCGATTAGTTTCGGGTTTGATGAAGGCCCGCCTTCCGAAAAACAAAATGTGATGTGATTGGTTAGCTGTCCCAGTGCGTTGTGATTGGCGAACAGCTTAGA